ACATCATGTCACAAATAAATATGTGCATTTGTTTCATGATCCGCTTAACAATAGCGGAATGATGGCCATTTTAAGGCCGAAAATGCATTAAAATCATGTATTTTCACAATTCCGGAACCAGATCTCAGTCATGTATGGATGGATTTTGTTCAGATTTAGTACAATGTGTTGTACATATGCAGGTGCATTTCGGTCATGATCTGCTTTGAATGTATATGTCACTCAAATATGAACAGAACGGGGACGTGTCATTGACAATGACTTGTTTTGTTTTTTTCAGTCTTTGCATTAGTTGTTTATACATTCCAGTATGAACAATATTGTTGTAGTATAAGTGATTGCTTAAAGCAGCACTGGTGTGATAAGAATCCATTATTATATAATAACTTTGCTCCTTCCAACTGTATACCCATGAAAAACTATACTTTTGTTCACCTTATCATATGGACATAAGGAAAGAGAACTGTCATGGGTTTAGAGCAATTAACATACATACAATTAAATAATAGGTCACATGACTGAGTGGTATAATTTAATAATTGTTCTATGTGATAATTCACAGCTGGCAGGTGCCCCATCAGCAAACAGGGAAGCACTTCCTACAGGCAAATCAAAGGTCACAGATGAAGATTTGGAAGCACAGCTGGCAAGACTTATGAAAGAATAGTTAGAAAAAAAAAAGGATAATTTATTGATCATATTCACCACTGGGTGGCAGTATTCATTTTCTGTGACAAACTTTGCTGAGAAAGATTGTAGATTCATGAAACGACTGTATGCTTCACAGAATCAAACATTTCTATATTCTGATACAAGCAAAGCCTCTTGTTACAAAGCTTAGAAATTTAAATAATTTAAATTTAAATAATTGCGATGAAAACTGACGTATAGTGAATTTCACATTAGTGGCACATAGTGTTGATGTTTATTTCTCTGTTTACTAGAATTCAACTCATTGCCAACATTGTAAATTTATGTCAACAAACAGATTTAGTAGATTTCAGGTGAACTTGAGTATGACATGGGAAAAGCATAGGGTATGTGAATAGACAGAAACAGTGCAACTTTTATTTAAACATTAAAACAGATGTGGTGGTCCTGAAAAGGTCTGTTTGGTTTATGTGGTCACTCTCTTAAATAAGCAATGAATCTTGATACAAAATAAAATACCCCAGACACCACTAATGATAATAACACCAATGTGTGCTCCTTACAAAACAGTGTGTCTAATAATGTCCTACTTGGATTAAAAGCAAAGTGGCCACTGATATGAAATAAACTATAATATTGAGCCAATCAAAATTTGTCAGTCTATAGTATACTAATTGTTTTTATGTAATACAATATTTATATCACATAATTGTACACGTCAAATGTAGATTCATCATTTAAACAGTTCATCTGGTATTTTTTTACAATGAATGAAAAATGTTTTCATAATGTTATTATAAATATATTACTATCTTATGTGGGGTAGTATTTTACTTTAATCCTTCACCAAATCACCTAGCTACATTGTACACGTCTTCCACAACTGAGTTCATAGATTTGAGTTGTGCACACAGTATTTTTTACTTTTGATTAAACATTGTATTCACCGTTAATTATTCAATTGTAATGTGAGGGGCCGCAATGAGTGGTGCTGTTTGGTCTGTAAACTAGCATATATGAGTAAAGTCCAAGTATTTTCAAGTTTTGTACAATTAATTCATGTCTAAAAGCTGCATCTGATTTCGTCTAGTATATAGTTCACAAGAATTGTCTTTATGATAATGATTAACTTTAGCAAATTAGTGGCGATCATTATTAGTTCCCGTTCGAACGCAGTCCGAAAACAGGGACTTATGGATTGACCATTGTGTGTCCGTGTGTGCGTATCTGTATCTTAGACATGCCTGGACTAATCACAATCAAACTTCAAAACATACATCATACATATTATACATATGCATGTCAATTTGTTTCACGATCTGGTTCAAGATGGCCGAACGGCGGCCATTTTTATGTTAAAAAATCATCAAAATCAAGCGTTTATAGATGAATTTTGTTCAAACTTGGTACATAGATTGGACATTTGGGACCTTGATGCACATCATTTTATTTTTTAAATCCAATTAAAAATGGCTGACTGGCAGCCATTTTGTTTTAATGAATGCAGTTCTAGTGCCATATCTCTGCCATGCTTTGACTGATTATGTTCAAATTTTATATATTCATTATACATCATGACATAGATATATTGGTTTGACTATCTGATTCAAAATGGCCAAATGGTAGCAATTTTTGTGCTAAAAAATCATCAAAAATCAAGCATATCTGGCATTCCAGAACTGGATCTTGGCATTTATAGATGGATTTTGTTCAAACTTGGTACACACATTAGAGATAATAGGTTCCTGATGCACGTCTTTTTATTTTTCAGATCGGATTCAAAATGGCTGACTAGCAGCCATTTTGTTTAAATGAATGCGCTTCGAGAACCATATCTCTGATATGCTTTGACTGATTATGTTCAAATTTTATATATATTCGTTTTACATCATGTTACATCATCATTCAAAATGGCCAACTGGTGGACATTTGTTATGGACAAGTACTCGTTTGACGATCAGATACAAGATGTCAATCATTTTAAAGATACACTAGCTGTAACGACCTAGTTTTTTGTATTGCAAACGTGTTCTACATGAATAGCAATTATTTCCGTTCTATTAGCTGAAACTAGTTCAATTATTTGGTACCGGGCCCTTCTGTATGCTTTATAAGCTCGCTAAAAGTACTGAATCAACATCGTGAAGTGTTTATTGTACGTACCCTAAGCTCCGTTTGTTAAACCATCATACGTCATTACTGATTGTTTGCGCGTGCGCAATTCCGA